TTTTTTTTTTTTTTCTTTCTCGCAGATCAACATTGTAAATGAGGAGAAAGTCAGAGCTCTAAACAAAGCGTTTACCGAAATTCAGGAAGAAGTGCAGCAGCTATCCAAAGGCACAGCCGCAGAAGCTCAGAAGGAACCTCAGGTAACTCCTGCCGCATTCAGAGCGTTTTGCTCCATCCCTAAGACTGTAGCCCTCCATCCTGTTGCTATCACGCTATAAACCCACCTTTCTTAATTTCAGTTGCGTGTTAATGTTGAAATCTGGTTAGCATCAAGTCAGGGGTGTAGAGCAGCCAAGCCCGAGCCTGCTCCGGCATTTTGATGATGCTCTAGTTTTATTTCTAAAGGATTTTCTAAAGACCGGTCTAGCTACTGACCCTCGCTGTGAGGCGTGTGTCTCACCATGAATAGACTCACAAGTGACTCGTCCTGCGCCCAGGAGCTCTTCGGAACCAAGTGAACAGAGCCCCTGTCTGCTCCACATCGCCCAGCCCGCAGCCGCCCCCATCACAAGGGCCGGCACCGGGAACAGCGCAGGGCTGTGCAGGAGCTCCTGCCCGCAGCACCTGGGGATCAAGGGAGCGCCTGGCTCCTCTGCTCCGTCTAGCCCAGCCCAGCGAACAGGGCTAGGCAGTCTCACAGTTAAATTGCTGACAAACTCCTCTTGCCAACTGCCTTTGAGCTGGTCATGGTTTGGGGATGGAAGAAGCCCCAGCCAAGCCCAGCAGGAAGCAAAGATGAATCCATGCGGACCCGGAGGGAGGTGGAAAAATTAGTTCAGTAACACAGGCACAAGTTGTGTTTGCTGTGTCTGGGGTGTTGGAGTTTCTGTAGGGCTGGGAGCAACAGAGCCAGCGCCAAACGCCTTAAGGAGAGGCTGAAAGGAGAGAAATGGGAAGAGGGGAGCGCAGGCGGTGGTGCCGGCGGCAGGGTGCGGGTGTCAGGGAGCTGGGACGTGGGACCGCCTCGCTCCTCGTGGGCTGGCCCTGGTCACGCAGGCGCCACGGACAGGACTCCTTCCAAGGCGTCAAAATTCCACCAAATTCCAAAATTCTCCCGAGCGGGATTCTCTCAACAGGCTGGGCCTGTTTCCCCGTATGTTACTGGCACAGCGCTCTGTCCTTCCCCTGGAGCACACAGTATCGCTGTCTGTCAGATTTAGGGAATCCTGGGATCCTCTCCCAAATGCTGAACTGACTGCAGCATTAGACTAAATTAAGTATACCAAAGACTAATCTTCTAGACAGCAGTATTTGTTAAATCTGTTTTTTTTTTTCCCCAAAAAAGCTGTTTAAAAAAATGCACTCTACTTAAAAGTGAAACTTCTTATTTTCAGGTTTCCAACGATCTGGAACATGAACCAGCAAACGTGGATGCTGCCACAAACCTATTATCTCAGCTGTAATGCATAATAAATGATGCAGGGATTCCAAGAAAGGCGGAGTGCACAGAGTGGTTGCTTTGTTTGTACAATTTTATTAAAAAAATCTTGTTAATATACAAGTATTGGCACACTTTAATACAAACTACAAACAGGCCTTTCCTATGACCTAGGAAAGTGGAATGTAAGAAGTCAGTGTGAGAAACTTAAAGTGCTAAAACAGAAGGCACTTCACAAAATTGGTTCACTGAAACGATTTAGCATAACTCAAGTTGATATCCTTCACTTCTCAGCTTGGCAGTGAAAGCTTCAAAATTGATTGAAAGGTTATTGATTGAAAGGTACAGAAAGCATCTTGGCAGTAAAGCCTCAAAAAATGCTGATAACTGTGAGCAGGAAGCCAAATCATCTTTTTTTTCAAATGATCAAAAGGCTATAAAGCGGTTTCGCTTTTCTTACAAAAGAAAACTCTGAATCATTGGATTACACAAAGGATACACAAGTGAAAAAAATGCCAGAATTTTTGATGAAAGCCCTTTTCTCTGGTTGTTCCATTTGTTTTGTGAAGCAGTTAAAGGAAGCAAGAGGAAATATACTCCCAGAGTGAGTGAACTAAGAAGTTATACATTCATTATTCAAATACTTAGGTTATGAAGAAGTCTAGAATGTTATAGTTAGAGGTAGATAAGATAGTCTGGTTGACACAATATCTAATAATTTAGTATCTGCACATCAAAGAGATCACAGACTCCTTCATTATCCTCCAGGTTAAACTTGTAGTCATCTCCGGGAGTAGGAGAGAGTCGTAAGAGAGGAAAAACTGTAAAGCAGGAATAGTTTAGTTGAAATTAAAGCACTTCTGGAATATGAGCCCTATCTCATAATTCAGCATGTCTGTCATCCCCAGTGTCAGACTTGGTCTTAATGATTTAAATACTGTCTTTGACACTGTGACAGACACGCTGGGATACCTGCATTGCCTTAAAACTAACGCAGTAAATGACACGTCTCATTTTCTCCTGAATGTTTAAGTGTTTAAATGTTTTACTTTGGTGGCAGGGAGTGCCTGCTGTGGAACACAGCCTAACCTCTCCTTGTGCAGCAAGGGAGCTGCTGAGCAGCTTGTGAGATTTCCATCAGAAAGCCATCGCTCACATCATAGGTATTTCCTTCTTCCTGTTACAGCACTCTGGTCTTCAAACATTTATGATTTCACCTAAGGAAGTTACCGCTGTCCCCATTTTACACGTGGAAAACAGAGGCTGGCAGGCTGTCTGCGCGCTGCATTCCAAGACCTGAGGCAGCTTTTGGGCAACGCAAGAAGAGGGGGTTTCGTTCCTCTGCTCTACAGCTGGCCACGTACCAGTCCGTGGGCAGGCAGGCAAACATGCTCTGAAATATCTACTAAAAACTCCTGCAGGAAGCCTGCAGCAGAACAAAACTAAACCCGGGTATTTTCTAATATTTCTAATGGCATCACCCTGGTCGCCAGCCTGTTCTTTCTTTGCCCCTGAACGAAGGGCTGCTGAGTTACTTGTGCATGGCAAGTGCTGGCTTGAGACATTCACATTTTTATTGTTAAATAAAACTTTTACAGGGGAACTGAAAGGGGAGCAAAGACCAGAATGACAAGGATAGAGGAGGCAGTACAGGGGGAATAAGCAGGCTGACCCACGGCATGGGGTGTCACAGATGCCACCAAGGGTACTGCGCAGACAGAGCCCACTGAAAAGCAAAGATACTCAGTACTCACCGTCAGAAGACATGAGTTCATCAATAATATCCCCACTGACAGTCCCTGTGAAAGACAGGAGCAGGCATTTATGGCAGCTAATGCAGGTTCTCTGCATGAAAACACTGACCTGCAAAGTACAGTCCGGCTCATGTGCACACTGCAGGAGCTCTGGAGATGGTCTCTGTGCTGTGTATACACAAAAGATACTTCTCTTTTTATCCCTTAGCTGTTCCCACCAAATTTCTCCTCCTCTCTTTGGGCTGAACAGTTGGTCTTTTATAACATTAACACTGGGTGCAATACAAAGCTTATTTTGCCAGGAGCAGGGTATTTTGCTCAGAATGGGACTGCTACTCAGAAGTGGTTCGGTGGCTTTGTTAGGAGGTGGGCAAAGGCCTGTTCTCGGCGGCAGGAGCTTTCATCTTTACTCCTTGATAACTCATGGGTAACTTGGTAGCAGAGAATGGCTCCGGAAACCAGTAAAACAGTTAAAATAGTAACTGTTTCTGCCTACCTGCAGGCTCATCCATCTTTGCTACGTCAAACGAATTTGGCTTGAGAATACAGTTGACATCCAACGGGAGCAAGGCCTGGTAGTCACTGGAGCCGCCTGTAGCTTGGGCACCTTCTCCTGAAAGGCTGGGGAATAACGCGGGCTCCGGAAGGCTGGAATAAGCAGTTGCTGAAGCTGCACTGTTCTGCTGCAAACTGCTGTCTACAACGAGGGAAAAACACACTATTAGGGCTGTTTTAGTAAAAAAGGAACACAGCTCATCTGCACCTAGCTTTGTCCTACTAGGAGGACATGGCCAATGTCAGGGTTGAAGTGAGACTCTCCCTATTGAGCACAGCCTCATCAGGGCTCCTCAGAAAGCTCCTTTGCTATAATTGACAGTGTTTTCTTAGTATCTCTATATATCCTACCATTATTATGAAAAAAAAAAACACCCCCAAACCCACAGCCCAGGCCATTGGCATTCAGTGCCTCTGAGGACTGTGCAGGTGGTGAGCAGTCTCGTGGCTCAAGGGCAGGAGCTGCTGAACACACAGCCAGGCTCCTGAAAAGATGCAGGTCACATCGGATCCCCGCGGGGATCCTTACACCAATGCTCTTGGTGTAATGACAAGGTACCAAGCGATAATCTGCTTTACCAAATGAAAGATAGAAGAGGAAGGAGCTTCCCTGCAACCTCCAGAGAGCTCTTGGTATGCCCTGGGGTAGCTTCTTCAGCCAGGTGCTGTGTCATGCAAACTGTTCCCTGCATTTCCTTTACTTTCTCCCTCCAGTGCCCTTGCTCCTGCTACCCAAATGAAGTGGAAAACAACCCTGGACCTACCTGAGGGTGTTTCTGTAACTGGTGTTTGTGGCAAATGTTGCTCCTGGTTAAGACCGCCTTGTTCAGGAGGGTTCGGGGTGGCAGGAGCAGGTTTAGGGGGGGTCACTGGAGTCGCAGGTTGGGACGGGGGTTGTGCAAGGTCATCAGGAGGAGGGACTGGAAACACCATGGGCTTGGAGGAACTTGATTCTTTATTTATAAGCAGCACTTGGATGGGTCCTGAACTACTCTTAAGGTTGATCTGATATTTCTTTTGTCCACTCTGTCCCTGTGAAGTAGCAGATGAGGAAAGTTACAATTCCTTGAGAGGTTAAAACTTACAAAAAATAGCAATAACTGCCTGGAGTTATTTCCCATAGCAAGTCAGGAAGGCATTTAAATTGGGATTTCTCCAACTGTGCTTTTTTTACCTTCTAGGAAGTAAGTGCAGTGCTCTTCTGGTCAGAACACAGCAAGAGATAACTGACATATGTATTAGATCATACTCAGGAAGAAAACAAGTAATTTAAAACAGGTACGTAACCTAATAAATAACAGGTCACAAACCTGTTATATATGCACCTGACCAGAACACAGTCACAGAAGACAAAAATACACAACCCTCTGTAGTGCTTAGCTGATCTTGAATTAAAGTTACATGAGACTTACAGCAGGGCTACATCTTATTAGTGGTGATAAGTAATGATTTCTGTACACTTAGATTTGCTTCCTTTTAAACTGAGTTTCAGAATTACCTTAGCTGGGACTAACCATCCAATTACACCTGAACTCTGACTCAGTGAACACAGGATCAGGAGTGAGTAGAAACAATTTTTTAGCTGATTTGCCCGGGCTTCTCATTGAAAAGTTACTTGAACAACTTAGCTAGGACCAGCTTCCTGCAGCACAGTCTCAGTGAGACGGCTGACCTCACAGCAAATAGCAGCAAATACATTCAGGGAAAAAATTAGGATGAGGAAAGTGGGGACAGAGGGAGGGAAGGAGAACCAAAGCCACAACATCCCTTTTGAAGCTGCAGGTGACACCTGTGATGAGCTGTTTTAGCTAAAGCAGGCAACTCTGGTGGCATCGAGAGCCTCATGCTGCCTGAGCTGCCTTTAGCACAGATGGACAGAGACAGTGTCACTGCATCGGCCTCATGGCTCTGGTTTTGGCTGTTCCTGGGTTATCAGTGTGGGCTGGAGCCTCAGTAAAAACAGCTCGTGAAAACCCATCACACAGACCCCATCCTTCAGGCTAACGTGGGTCCCTAACGTGCTTCATACAGCACCTTCTCCCAGCTGCATAAGCCCTATTTAAAACAGGGCACTGCAGTACAAAAATTAAAGGTGGACAGAGATAAGCAATTTGAGTTCCTACTTTAAGGCTGCTCTTCAAGGCCTCTGGCGGAAGCAAGACTGCAGTCTGTGTCGTATATCCAGTCTAATGCCACAGGACTAAACACACCTCTGCTAGTAAATCTAAAGGGCTTTTCCATATGGGATCCAATGCACAGGGAAAACTTGACCTAAGAAGTCAATGCTAATAAATTCTCAACTTTAATTGCATTCAATTGGAATTGGAAATGAACTAGAATTCAAACAAGTACATCAAGCTGCAGAGCTGCAGCTTTTAGGAGTAACAGAAAAGGCGGGGGGGCAGAGAAAATTTCCATTACACATTAATACAGTCTATCTGGGTGTACAAAAGTTCTTACTCCCCACCCTGCCCATCCACTCTCAAATGAGATCATCTTAATTTTTCCCCTCTAACACATGGCTAGAAACAAACCCTCAGCTCTAACATAGCTCTTCTGTTCCACTGCCAGCCTCCAACACTCAGGTAAACAAGAAACCAGTACCTACCATTTCGGGTATAGGTACTTCTAACTGTGTACCAGAAGGTGCTTGAATTGCTAGAAGTGTGTCTCCTGGTTAAATAGCAATTTTTAAGAAAGCGTTAACTGTGCATATTTTTGTGAAGTCTTGCATGGCACATACTGAAACGAGAAATGGTAATTCTCTAAGGCCACATACTGCAAAGTTCTAGTAAAAACAGAAAGTTTGGGGTGGGAACTCCCACAGGTCCCTTGTAGATCCAAGTAGCTCACAGTATTCCAACACTTAGACCGCAGCTGCAAGGGCCTTTTCTGGTAGCAGTGCTTGTTGCCATATCCTTATCTCCCACTTGTATACATAATGTGATGTGAAAATATTTACTTAATTAACTAGGTCATTTTTCAACTAAAACAGTTCTGTGATACAGCTCCCTCTAGGGCTGTGAAGAATGATGGGGAGAGGGAGAATTCACAAGGGCAGGAAACAAAGGTCCTGCAGGTTTTCTTCTGTGCCAGCACTTCCAAGCATCTGAGTTCAAAACCTCTGCAGCACAAACTACTGAGATGTCAAAGGTGATACCTCCTTCACCTGCAGCTCACTGTACACGCAGTTCCATTTACTGCTTGAAGCTGGAGGTCACAGCTGTATCAACGAGCTGACACAAACTGCCTGATGCTGCAGGTCACACACTT